AGTGAGACTTTGTCTCAAAAAAAAAAAAAATAAATAAAATAAATAGCCAATGAGCTTAGTGGCTACCTTATTAGACAGTTAATACAGTGAAAAAAGAAGAAATAATCATATCAAATGTCAGATAGGGAATATTATCTATATCTGATATGACTGTACCATTAGAAAACCTAAGAAAAAACTGTACTGAGAAGCTACCAGAATAGGTAGATAGTTTTGATAAGGAGCTAGATACAAGATAAAATTATCACCTGTAGTCCCAGCCATTTGGGAGGCTGAGGTGGGAGAGTAACTTGAGTCCAGGAGTTTGACACCAGCCTGGGCAACACAGGGAGAACCTATCTCTATAGAAAAATTCAAAAATTAGCTGAGTCTGGTAGTGCACACCTGTAGTCCAAGCTACTTGGGAGGCTGAGGAGGGAGGATCATTTGAGCCTGAAAGGTTGAGGCTACAGTGAGCTGTGATCATGCCAGTGAACTTCAAGGCAAGATCCTGTCTCAAAAAATTAAAATAAAAGAGAAAATTATAAAAATAGGTTCTTCCTATACTAGCAGTAAGCAGATGGGACTAGCAAAAATAAGTCTTAATGACAACAAAAATATAAATACGCAAAAATAAATTTAACCAAAAAAGATAAAAAGATGATGGATTTAGAAAATTATAAATATCATTGCAGCATATAAGACATAATCAAACAGACACATCAAATCCCTAGATATAAAGAAAGGCTTAATGTAATAAAAACATTACATCTCCCTAACTATTATATTAATGTAAATATAATTCCAATCAAAAGCATAATAGTTTATTTTTTTTGTTTTTTGTTTTTTTGTTTTTATGGTTTTTTTTTTTTTTGAGACAGTCTTGCTCTGTCACCCAGGCTGGAGTGCAGTGGCACGATCTTGGCTCACTGCAACCTCTGCCTCCCGGGTTCAAGCAATTCTCCTGCCTCAGCCTTCCGAGTAGCTGGGATTACAGGCGTGTGTCACTGTGCCCAGCTAATTTTTGTATTATTAGTAGAGACAGGGTTTCACCATGTTGGCCAAGCTGGTCTTAAACTCCTGACCTCAAGTGATCCACCCGCCTGGGCCTCCCAAAGTGCTGGGATTACAGGTGTGAGCCACCTTGCCCAGCAATAGTTGAGGTTTTTTTTTTTTTTTTTTGAGACAGTCTCACTCTGTTGCCCAGGCTGGAGTGCAGTGGTGTGATCTCTACTCAATGCAACCTCCATCTTCTGGGTTCTAGCAATTCTCCTGCCTCAGCCTCCCAAGAAGCTGGGATTACAGGTGCATGCCACCAGGGTGGCTAATTTTTATATTTTTTAGTAAAGACAGGGTTTCACCATATTGGCCAGGCTGGTCTCGAACTCCTGGCCTCAAGTGATCTGCCCGCCTTGGGCTCCCAAAATGCTGGGATTATAGACGTGAGTCACCTCGCCCAGCCACAACAATTTAGTTTTGTTGTGTTTTTGGGTTTTTTTTGGGGGGGGGGTTGGGGGACGAGTTGGTAGCATTCATTTTGAAACTTGATTAAATGATTTTAAACTTCAGAGAATTCCTAGAAAATAAATTTGCAAGAACAAAAATCCCTTGAAATCAAATAGATTACAGACACAAAATAGAGTTCAGGTCAAGCTAAGTATATTTGTGACCTTATATGACTGAATTGTGGGTACAAGGTGGTGTGTTTCATAAATGGTGCCAACTGACAATACTGAATTTTACCTCAGCCTGGTGAGCAGTGCAGGTCAAAAAATCCCCTTACTCTAAAGGGAAAATGGCTTTTCTGGAAAATGGCTTACTGCAAAGAACCATCCTTCCCCATATGACTTAGAAGTCACGGATGTCCCCTGTTTACCTATGAGAAGCCCTGACACCCACTCTCCAAATTCCCATTCTTTGCCTCATAGATGACAAGCCTAACTGCTTGTCCCCACTGATCAATCGGAACGAAATGCTCTTTAGCCAAACTTGAACCAGGCTTCTTTTCTACAAGCTCCTAACTCTGCTTGCCCCTAAGCCTGGGCAAGCATCAAAAAAAGTCGAAATTCCCCCCCTCCCAACGGACCCTGCTTCTCAGCTTCTCCTGGGAATAGGCGGACCACAGTGGGACAATTTCCTGGCAGACCCCACTGGCCATTCCCCCTTGTTTGTGCAGCTTCCTTTCCACAGATTCTGCTTATCTCTGCCTGCCTCCCTACCCTGTACAAGAAAAGCCTTTTTCTGTTTGGTTTCAAGATGCTCTCAGGTTTCTGAGCTGGGAGCATTCTCCCTTTTGCAATAGTCTGTCTTTCTAATTAAAGTCTCTGATTTTATTTGACACAGAAAAAAGCGTGACACAGGCTTCTTGTTCAAGATTGATCTTGATTTCATACCATATACCACAGTAAATTCCAATTAGATTAAAGTAGAAAAAAAACTAAAGCAATAACAACACTGAAATAAATGTTAAGATTATCTTTCTATCTGGAATAGGGAAGGGAAACTAGGCAAGATGGGATATACAAAAGCCATAAAAAGAAAGACATATCTGATCAGAGGCTACATTTCACTAGTTACATATTACACATAAAATTGTTCTTTCTTTCTTTCTTTTTTCTTTTTTCTTGAGATGAAGTCTTGCTCTATCACCCAGGCTGGAGTGCAGTGGTGTGAGTTCAGCTCACTGCAACCTCCACTTCCCAAGATCAAGCGATTCTCCTGCCTCAACCTCCCAAGTAGCTGGGATTACAAGCAACCACCACCATACCTGGCTTTTTTTTTTTTTTTTTTTTTTGTAGAGATACCACACCCAGCTACTTATTCTTTATTATTATTTTTTTTTATTTTTAGTAGAGATGGGGTTTCACCATTTTGGTCAGGCTGGTCTCGAACTCCAGGCCTCAGGTGACCAACAGCCTCAGCCTCCCGAAGTGCTGGGATTACTGTGCCCAGCCCACATAAAATTTTTCTAATTGCACATTTAAAAAAACATAAAATGCAAAAGACAAAAGGACTTTGGGGGAAAATACTGCAATGTAACTGACAGATGGTTAATAGCCTTAATGGACAAAGATGTTAATATCTCTAATGTAATATCCCTAATGTACAGTGTAACTGACAGACTGTTAATATCCCTAGTGTACAATGTAATTTGTACACTGTTTACAAATTGATAAGAAAAGGACAAATCACCCCAGAGAAAACTGGACAAAGGATATGAACATCTGCAAAAGAGAAAAGCCAAATGGCCAACAGACCAAAACAATCCTCAATTGCACAAGTAGTCAGAAAAATACAAAATTAAAGACAGCATCAACATCCAGCGCTGGAGGGGATTTGCCTTAATGAACTTAATGATTTTGCTGGTAGGACTAGAAAATCTTATAATCTTTTGGGGGAAGGAATTCGGCTATATCTATTCAGCAATGAAACACCGTTACCTGCAGTTAATAAAACTTCAAAACATAGGAAGCAAAAAATTGAATAGCACAAGGAAAAATTTGACAATACAGTCTCTCTTTCTCTCCTCTCTCTCTCTCTCTCTCCCCCCCACATCACCCCCAGTTGACAAGCTAAAGGGAATTATCAGGAAACACACATTTTTAAAGGCCCAACACACAAGCTTGAACCGATAGAGCCGTAGAGTACGATAAACCCAAAAACTAGAAGACACAGTGTTTTCAATCAAGACACAAAACCATTTTTGAAAGCTGGCCTCGTACTTGAGCCTTAAGGCAAGTTTCATCAAATTTCAAGATCAACATTCTTGGGCCACAAGGCAAATGGGCTTAGAAATCACTAACACAGGGATTAACTTCTTGTTCGTTTGCGGAAATGCAAAACGGTGTTAAGACCTGTAACATTTTCTGCAGTCCCTCTAAATTCCTTCTTTGAATAATCGATTCCTAGAACAGGACGCGATGGACCAAGCTGGGTCAACCTGCCGACAGCTCCGTTGGGCAGCATGTCCACCCCTGATGACCAAAGCCCACCAAACGTGCAGCTGGCACTCGGCCGCCTTTGTTTCCTTCCCCTAGAATAAAACTCCGCTGCTTTCCCACATTCCTGGAGCAGCCGGAATAAAGCGCCCATAGCCTTGCCCTTTGAGTCTCAGAGGATGTTTGCCACTCCGACAATGGACTTTTAAATAACTCAGGGGTCAAAAGGCGTGTGTAGGGGGAGAGTTACAAATCAGCACTTGAAACCGAACACGAACAAAAATCAAATCCAAACTAATACAACAAATCAAAACTTGGATCTTTTTTTTTTTTTTTTTTTGAGACGGAGTCTTGCTCTGTCACCCAGGCTGGAGTGCAGTGGCTGGATCTCAGCTCACTGCAAGCTCCGCCTCCCGGGTTCAAGCCATTCTCCTGCCTCAGCCTCCCGAGTAGCTGGGATTACAGGCGCCCGCCACCTCGCCCGGCTAGTTTTTTGTATTTTTTAGTAGAGACGGGGTTTCACCGTGTTAGCCAGGATGGTCTCGATCTCCTGACCTCGTGATCCGCCCGTCTCGGCCTCCCAAAGTGCTGGGATTACAGGCTTGAGCCACCGCGCCCGGCCAAAACTTGGATCTTTAGAAGAAAACTTCAACTTTAATGCTTCCAGGAGGAAAGCAGAAAGGCTAATGACTGAATTGTGAAAACGAGCCAAAATACTTCACCCCTGATGTCACACACACCTATGACTCCCTGCACAGATCCACGGTCCCGGGCGCTGAATCCCCGCAACCCTCCGCGCCCACAGAGGTTAAACTCTCGCTGCCGGCGACTTCCGCTTCCTGGCCTAAATCTGACACGCACGACTCCCCTTGCGGCAACTGCACAGGTTCGGTGACAGCCGAGACGCCGGGCGTTTCCCGCAGCCGGCCTGGGCCCAGGTCGGAGCTGTAGCCAGCAGGGCCGCCAGGTGGGCTCGGGACGGGGCGGGTGCGGGGTCCCCGCCGCGGCGGGAGAGGGGTCGCCGCGTCCCACAGAGCAGTGCGGCGTCGGGGGCGGGGGCGGGGCCGGGTGCGTCTCGGGACCTGCTCCTGGGGGTGGGGGCTGGGCGCTATTTAAAGAGGCGGAGGCTCCCCGGTGGGGACGGCCTGAGGCGGAGTGCACTCTGAGGGCGGAAGAGGTAAGGCGCCCCGCCTGCCGGGGCCTCAAAGGCGACTGACTCCTAGAGGCTGCGGCGGAGGGGAGAAGCCTGGTGGTACATTCCATGGCCCAGTGCCTCGGCCACTGGAAAATCCCACAGGGGTATATCGAGTAGGGTACCGTGGGCTCCGCTGCAGAAATGATCACCCTTCCAAGATGGCGGCTCCCGTAGAGACACTCCCAAGGGGACAGCCATGTTCCTTGCCTGACAGTCGCTGCAGGAAATTGGAAAGCCCGCCTCTCCTTCGACGCACACGCGCACGCACGCACGCACCGGCGCGGTGTAAGGGCACCAGGTGTAATTGTGGGCGAGCGGCCGCTTCGGAGCTGACACTAAGCATGTGCAGATCAAGTCCAGAAGCGCCGGGGTCCCTCGAAGCAGTTTTCAGGACTTAAGGCTCTGGGAGTGAGTTTAACAGATGGACTTAGGGCCACTTAAGCATTGAGATAATTATGGAGATGTTAAGACATGGATCAAGCGTTGAGATAATTATGGGGATGTTATGACATGGATTTTGTACTCGATGATGCTCAGTGGGGTGAGGAGGCTTCTCTGGGGTCATTTATAGGGAGGTGCAGAGAGTGTGATTGGGGTTTGTGGGTGAGTGATGGGTCACTAGAGAAAATTGATGGGTAGCCTGTAGGATGAGTGTTGGGGACACCGGAGTAAATGATAAGGGGGTCTGTGGGGTGAGTGATACAGGGTCTCTAGGGTGAGTGATAAGGTATATGTGAGATGAGTGATGAGAAGTCCGTGGGGTGAGAAGGGGCTGTGCGGGGCGACTACTGGAGGTCTGTGAGGTGTAGGATGGGGTTTATTGGGGGATTGACCAAGGTTTCTGCCGGGTGAGTGATGCGTTTATTTGGGACTGGTGATGGGGGGCTGTGGAATCAGATATGCAGCTTCCTGGGGTCAGTGATAGGTGGTCTTTAGGTCTGAGATGAGGTTGTTTCAAAAACCTACTTTTGACTTTGTTGGTCCTCCTGTGTCTTTGTTTCTCTGTCATTAATATCTGCCCTTAACTTCGTTATTTCTTTTCTGTTTTTTTCTTTTGTTCTCATTTTTAAAGTCCTGAATTGAATGCTTATCTCTTATTATCCAGTCATTTTATTTTATAATATAAACATTAAGTTTATAAATTTTTCTCTAAGAACTCTTTAGCTCCGTGTCACATGTTTTGTTGTTGTTGTTGCTGCTGTTGGGTTTTGTTTTGAGACAGGGTCTCACTCTGTCGCCCAGAGATGGAGTGCAGTGACACGATCATGGCTCACTGCAGCCTCAACCTCCTGTGCTCAGTCGATCCTCCCAACTTAGCTTCTCAAGTAGCTGGAACTACAGGCATGTGCTGCCACACCCACTAATTTTTTATTTTGTGTAGACACAGGGTCTCACTATGTTGCCCAGGCTGATTTTTTTTTTTTTTTTTTTTAAGATACAAGAATCTCTCTCTGTTGCCTAGGCTGGAGTGCAGTGGAGCCATCATGGCTCACTGCAGTCTCAACCTCCTAGGCTCAAGTGATCCTCCCACCTCAGCCTCCCAAGTTGCTGGGACTACAGGCAAGCTTGCCCAGCTAATTTTTAAATTTTTGGTAGAGATTGGGGTCTTGCTATGTTGCCCAGGCTGGTCTTGAACTCCTGGCCTCAAGCAATCCTCAAGTAGTCCTCCCAGCTCGTCCTCCCAAAGTGCTGGAACTACAGGCATGAGCATCCAACCCACAAGTTTTGATATGTAGCATCTCCACTATAGTTTCCTTCTAATGTTTTCTAATTGCAGTTGCAATGTTCACTCTTACCTCTGGGTTATTTAAATATGAGATTTTGATTTCCCAAAACATTGACATTTTTGTTACTGATTTCTAAATTGTGGTTAGAGGCTGTCACCTGAGTGATCATTACGTGCAGGAATGATGCTTTTAAGTTCAATACATACCACCATACTACTTTCCAAAACTTTTGTAAAATTGGAACTCCCACCAGCAACATATAAAAAGACTTCTTCCAAAATCCTCTTCTGCACTGGATTTTTTTTTTTTTTTATTTTCCCCATTCTGAGGGCCAAACACAAGGGTATCTAGTTTGCCTTGATGTACATTTTCCTGACAACTAGTGGCTGAACATTATTTCATTCTTATTGACCACTGAAATATATATTTAAACTTTTTCACGTCCTTTGCCCTTTGTTTCCTTTAGGTGGTTTGTCTTTCTTACTAATTTGTGAATATTAACCTGTATTGTAACTATATTTCCTCTGTCTCTGGATTTTGACTTTTGAAAGATGTCTTCACCTTTGATTTTTTAAAAATCATCTATGAAGATATATCTGCCTTTTTCCTTTACAAGTTCTGAGTGTATTGTCTTGCCTAGTGACTTCTCCTCATTTCATGTTCAAACAAATATGCCTTAAATTTATATTTAATATATTTATTGTTTCAATTTTTAAAGTTAAATTTTAATCTAACTGGAATTCATTTTGGTGTATGGTGTGAGATGGAATCAGTTCATATATTCCATTTGGATACCTAATTTGCCAGCACCAGCCGTTAAATGAATACCGTTTTCTAATTCAATTAAATGCCACTTTTGTCACATAAGTTCCCAAATGTGTATTGTTTTATTTCTGAACTGTTTAGTTCTCCTTTTTAAAAAATCATATTGACTTTAGAAATAGTTTTAATATCACATAGAACTAGTCTCCCTCGCTTTCTTCTTGGTTGCTTTCATTAATTTTCTTGTGCGTTTATTATTATTCTTTTTTTTTTTTGAGATGGAGTCTTTCTCTGTTGCCTAGGCTGGAGTGCACTGGTGCAATCTCGGCTCACTGCAACCTCCACCTCCCAGGTTCAAGCAATTCTCCTGCCTCAGCCTCCCGAGTGGCTGGGACTACAGGCGCGTGCCACCCTGCTCAGCTAATTTTTGCATTTTTAGTAGAGACGAGGTTTCACCATATTGGCCAGGCTGGTCTTGAACTCCTGACCTTGTGATCCGCCTGCCTTGGCCCCCCAAAGTTCTGGGATTACAGACATGAGCCACTGCTCCCGGCCTTTTTCTTCCATATGAATGTTAAAACTATTTTATCTAGTTTCAAAAATAACCGTTAAAACTATAATATTTGATAGTTTTCTTATGAGTCCAGCACCTTTTTTTTTTCTTAACAGTTCATTCTTAGATATTTTACCTTTGCTTTTATCATCATTGTGAATAGCATATTTTTTTCTATTTCCATAGGGAAAATCTATTTTTATAATTTTATTTTGTATTCAGTCCAATTACCAAATTCTCATATGAATCTAGTTGCTTTTTATAGTCTTACTTTTCCTAGCTACCATATTCCATCCAATTAAAAATGATACTGTCTCTTCTCTCAAATATTTATTCTGATCACCTCATCTTCTGTTGCACTAGTTAGAGCTTTCAGAACAATGTTGAGTGACATTTAATAAAGGGTATTTGCTATCTTGCTGCTAATGTTAATGAAAATAACTTGGGCATTTTTTATTTGAATGTGAAAGGTGTTTATTTATTCATCAATCTATTCAGTAAACATTTATTGAATACCTACCCCTTGCCAGATATTGACTTTGCAACCCTGCTTGGCACTTACTAGCTATGATTTTTTTTTCTAACAGCTTTATTGATATCATTCATCTGCCATAAAATTCACCCATTTAAAGCTTACAGTTCAGCAGTTCCTAGCATATTCACAGAATTGTGCAACCATCATCATAATCTAATTTTAGAATATTTTATCACCCCAAACGGAAACATCGTACCCATTAGCAATCATTCCTCATTCCCAACCCTCATCCCTAGCCACAGGCAACCACTAATTTACTTCCTGTCTCTGTAGATTGGTCTATTCTAGACATTTTATATAAATGGAATCATAAAATATGTGGTCTTTTATGATTGTCTTATTTATTTATTTTAGACACAGTCTCACTCTGTCACCCAGGCTGGAGTGCAGTGGCCAGATCTCAGTTCACTGCAGCCGCTGTCTCCCGAGTTCAAGCAATTCTCCTGGCTCAGCCTCCCAAGTAGCTGGGATTACAGGCACCTACTACCACGCCTGGCTAGCTTTTGTATTTTTAGTAGACATTGGCCAGGCTGGTCTTGAACTCCTGACCTCAGGTAATTCGCCCACCTTGGCCTCCCAAAGTACTGGGACTACAGGCATGATCCACTGTGTCCGGCCATGATTGTCTTCTTTAACTTAGCCTAATGTTTTCAAAGCTCATCCATGTTATGGCATGTATTAGGACCTTATTCCTTTTATTATTTTGTTTATTGTGGTATGAACACTTAACATGAAAACTACCCTCTTAAATTTTGTTTTTGTTTGTTTGTTTGTTTGTTTTGGTTTTGGTTTTGATTTTTGAGACAGAGTCTCGCTCTGTCACCCAGGCTGGAGTGCAGTGGCACAATCTCGGCTCATTGCAACCTCCACTTCCCAGGTTCAAGCAGTTCTCCTGCCTCAGCCTCCCGCGTAGCTGGGACTATAGGTGTGTGCCACCACACCTGGCTAATTTTTAGTAGAGACAGGATTTCAACATATTGGTCAGGCTGGTCTCGAACTCCTGACCTCAGGTAATCCACCTGCCTCGGCCTCCCAAAGTGCTGGGATTACAGGTGTGAGCCACCGCACGTGGTGTATCCTCTTAAATTTTTAAGTGCACAGTACAGTACTGTTAACTACAGGTGCAATGTACAGCCAATCTCTAGAGCTTATTCATCTTGTATAGCTGAAACTTTATACCTGTTGAATAGCAACTTCTCATTACCCCCTCCTCTCAGCCCCTGGCAACCACCATTCTACTATCTGTTTCTATCTGTTTATTTTAGAAGCACTTCATGTCTTTTTATTCCTGAATGATATTTCATTGTATGGATGGACCACATTTTGTTTATCCACTCATCAGTCAATGGACATTTGGGTTGTTTCCACTTTTTAGCTATTATGAGTAATGCTGCTATGGGCATTTGCGTACAAGTTTTTGTGTGGACATATGTTTTCATTTCTCTTGGGTGGATACCCAGGAGTGGAATGACTGGTATAAGGAGTGAGGTAGAAATTTACCTCTTCCCTTTTAGGATTTCTTTTCGCTGGGCCTGAAAGTTAAATTGACATAAGACAGATCAACAGAGAAAAATGTACAGATTTATTTAATACAAGTTTTATGTGGCACAGGTGCCTTCATAAAGAAATGAAGACCCAAAGTAGTAGTTAGAGTCAATCACTTATATACTGGATTGGACAAATAATACTTAAGTTGTGAAAAAGCAACTCAGTTATGTGGGGAGGCTTAAAACATAAGAGTTTTTAAAAATTTCTTTTGGCTTATTTCTCCAAGAAAAAAAGTTATTTTTCATAAGATCTGTACGTAATTGTCTTGCTCTCAATTTCCTGA